GGAATGGGCCAATGATGTCTAAGCCCCATCTTGCGAATGGCCAAATTGGTGCGATTGGCTATAGTTCGTATTGTGGTGCTATTTGGCTTCGACCATGTCGCTGACAGCTTTCGCATTTTTTGACCTGTTGAACACATACTTTTAGTATGGTTGGCCAATATATGTCCTGGCGAAATACTTCTGATGTGACGGTTCTTGCTACTTGGTGTGCTCCGCACATCCCTTGGTGTATTTCTTTTACCATCTCTTCTCCTTCGGAGAAGGAGACACAGCGAAGCATGGGCTGCAATATTCTGGTTCGGTACAGTTGCCTAGAGATTAACTTGTGCTTCCCGGCTCTAAGCTGCAGCTACCTCGACGTTGCTTCTTCATCCGGTAGCCATCCCTCTTTGAGGTGCTTGACAAAAGACGTTCACCAGTCGTCTGGGTCTTCGCCAGTTCAGCTTGGTCAATTACCATGATGTCTGGGCTGTCTTCTGGCACACTTGGTGTATACAAGGCTTCGAAAAGGACTCCTGGCGAAAAAGCTTGGTCAATTACCATGATGTTTGGTCTGCTGATTTTGCTAACGCGTCAGCTTACTCGTTCTGGCCTCGGGGCAAGTGTTCGACCATTATGCCGGCGAAACTTTTGTCCATAGACCGAACGGCCTCCAGGTACTTTCTCATCCCTTCTTTCGCGTCAAAAGATTTGTCAACTTGGCTGGCGACAAGCTTTGAGTCCGTCCGGACTAGCGAACGCCGAACAACCAAAGCTTTCGCTTTCCTTAGGCCCATTAACATTGCTTCATATTCTATTGTGTTGTTGGTTGTGCCGAACTCTAGTCTTACTGCGTAACGAATTGGAATGCCCCCAGGCGAAGTCAGGATTGCAGTGATGCCCGCCTCCTTGTGAGACCACGAACCATCGGAGTGCATGACCCATGGTTGTTTGACCGGTTCGGGCTCTGGGACGGACGCGAGTGTCCATTCGGGCATGAAGTCAGCGAGGACTTGGGACTTGATCGTGGTGCGGGCGACAAAGTGTAGGTCGAAAGGTGACAGCTTAGCGGCCCACTTCGTCCAAAGGATACTGCGAAGGTACCACGATTTTGTGGGCTTGGAAATAGTGTTTGAGCTTTCTTGAAGCCATCACGAGGGAATAATCAAGTTTTTCCATTTCAATGTATCTAACCTTCGCCTCCTGGAGAGCTTCGGAGACAAAGTACACTGGCTTCTGGCCTGCTTCGGTTTCTTGTACCAAAGCTGCGCTGACAGCAATGGGCGAAGCCGGTAGATAGAGCCAGAGTTCGTTCCCTGCCACTGGGCTAACTAGAGTTGGAGGGCTTTGGAGATACCGCTTAAGCTCATCGAAAGCTATTTGGCACTCGGGCGTCCAACAGAACTTTCCTGCCCCTCGAAGGGTCTTGAAAAAAGGTAAGCCCCTTTCAGCCGCTTTTGACAGGAATCGACTAAGTGCCACAATTCGCCCCGCGAGCTTTTGTACTTGTCGTACGCTCGATGGTGGCTTCATTTGCTGAATGGCATCGATTTTCTCGGGGATCGCTTCGATCCCCCGTTCGGACACAAGGAATCCCAACAACTTACCAGCACGAACACCGAACACACATTTCTCTAGATTTAGTTTCATGCCAGCTGCGCGGAGGTTGTTGAATGTCTCTTGCAAATCTGATGTGTGGTCGAAGCCCTTGCTGCTTTTCATGACAATGACATCAACATAGGCTTCGACATTTCGCCCCAACTGCGACCCCAAGACTTTGTACACTAGCCTGGCGAATGTAGCCCCTGCATTCCTCAGACCAAAAGGCATTCTTAGATGGCAGAAGGTGCCGAAGGGCGTGATGAAGGCTGTCTTGGGGATGTCTGCCGGGTTCATGTAAATTTGGTGATATCCGGAGTATGCATCCAAGAAGCTCATGAGTTCGCATCGGCGGTCGAATCGACCAGCTGATCGATCCGGGGCAATGGGAAATCATCCTTCGGGCACATCTTGTTGAGGTCCGTGAAGTCGACACACATTCGCCACTTGCCGTTCGACTTCTTCACCAGTACCGGATTTGCTAACCACTCTGGGTGGTCACTCTCTTGTATGACCCCAGCTTTCAGCAGCTTGTTCACCTCTGCTTTCGCCGCCTCTTGGCGATCTGCCGACATTTTCCTCAACTTTTGCTTCGTCGGCTTTGCTTCAAGCTTGACTGTGAGATGGTGCATGATAAGATCTGGCGAAACACCCCCTACATTGTCTGGCCCCCAAGCGAAGATATCAATGTTCTTCTTAAGTACAACCAGGATGCTGACAACCTCTTGTTCGCTCAGGTCTCCACCAAGCGATATGACTTTGGCGGGGTCGAATTCATCTATATGCCACTGGATAACCTTGCCGTGGGGGCAGGCTTTGGTATTGGCTTTGTTTTTTCTTGTCCTTCGACCTCTAGGGTGTGGACTTCCTTGCCGAAAGGGGTCCTGTGACGGCCGAAGGCTGGGAACCCTTGACAGCTATC